AAGAGAAAATATTTTATGACACAATTTGGCCATTAGCTTTTCTCTTTAGGATCAGACTGGAATATGATGATTAGATGTTGTTCTGTTTATCATATCTTGTAACAGGATTATTAAAAATGAAAAAAAAAACTTATTAATATATTATGCTACTTCAGGAAATTTGTGTTCATAATATGTTTTAAAGAAACAGGTGCTCCATTTTGAGGGGTTGAATATAATATGTAAATAGTTTTCAGAAGTGCTTGAAATGTACGAAAATCGCATAATTCCTTTAAAAATACTTCAAACTAGGAAGTTTACTCACTTTTCTTATACGTGAAAAATCTTAAATTGACGAGTCATCATTTTAACATTCAAACACATGGATTTGAAGACTCAAATATCGATGGTGAGCTTTGAACACTATAACTGATTGGCTTAACTAAAAAAGACTAAAGTATGATTGGTGAAAAAAATAGCCTACCTGTCCCTTTAAAACCCCTAAAGAACCCTAAAATCATATTCTAGATATGATAATACTGAACTTTTAATCATTTTTGACCTAAATTTTATCACAATTTCAAGATGATTTTAATTTCATCTTTGAATGAAATTTGAATTCAGTTTTGAAGTTTAAGTTGATTTTAATTACAGTTCATATAAACTTCAATTTCAATTTAAATGGGGATATCACGAAAGGCCATTTTAAATATAAAAAGTTGAAAATTATAATTATAACACCTCATTATTATATATAGTTAAAATATAACCTAATTAGGTATTGTGAGAATACTGATATTAAGAGTTTCTCAGAATTAACAGTAAAATAAGTAATTGGTTTAAAGGGATAGGTCTGCCATTCGTTTGATTGGTTGACCAATTGTACCTTAGTCTCACAAACTGGATTTTTTTTTATCTAATCAGTAATAGTGTTCACAGCTCATTGTCCAAATTCAGCCTTCAAATCCATGTGTGTCCAGATTAATCCACTTTTGAAAGTCTTTTCTTGAGACTCAGCCATATATAGAAAAGACATCTATAGAAATATAAAATGTAATTCCTAGTTTGTTATATTTTTGAAGGAATTATGCGATTTTCGTACTTTTCTAGTATTTCTGAAGACTATTTACATATACAAGTCCCAAATCAGTCCCTGAAAATTGTGTATCTGTCCCTTTAAGGTTCAACAAGATTTAGGTTAATCATTACCTAGAACTCATGATCCCTGGATGATGTGATAGACAGGATTGTTTTCTCTGAGTCAATATTAAAATGAATCAATCAATTCTCCATTTTGATTTGAAATATTGTCCCTCCAGACTAATTTTCTCCTTCCAAAAGTTCATAAATCATCCCATTATTCATTTCAATTTCAGAAAATCTACTCCAGAGTAGCTCGTGTCTGTAAAGTAAGTAATTGTTTTATGAAATTGGGTTTATAACTTGGGCCTTATTCTTGTAAACTTTAATAAGATAAAATCTAGATTTCAAGAAATAAAGTAATCTGATTGGTTAAAACAACAAAATTTAAAATCAATTTTAGTGATTGACCAATCAAATGATTGCAACACTAAAATCATCTTAAGTTTTCAAGATTAAGCCCCCACCTTTGGTCTTGTTTTTGTTCTCATTTCAATGGGGTTATATCAGTAAGTCTGAAGCCTATTCCAGTGTTTCTGGTAGGTAATTACATGATACACATAATACCACTTTGCAGATGGGTTTGTCATATCAGCACTCCTTTGATCTTAGCATCCCTTTGAGAGAGTCCACATAGCTCTTAAAATTACTTTAATATCTTTCTTTAGATATTTTTATTACACTGAAGTATTCACACAGTTTTGATCTATCTATAATAAGTTAAATTGTAAATGGTTACAAGAAAATTGTAGAACCTTTCAGATAGCACACTGAATCGTTTGCGGCAATAGAAAGTCCATGTCCATATTTTATATATTTAGAGTGACAATGGAGGAAGATTTCTATTAGAAGATAATTGGACATCATTTCAAAAAGCCAGAATCAATTGTTCCATTCCTGGTGATTTTCCATTTTATTTCGATGAAATGCAGAGCACTTTTTACTCTGAAGACAAAGTCTATGCCATATTAACTACCCCACCGTAAGTATGGTTATAAAATTTACTAATTAAAAATGCTCTTCTGTGCAGACATTTATGGTCAAAGTAAGGAAAGCTCATCAAGTCCATATTTTATTTATGAAGTTGTGTATATTTTTTTTAACAAATTCCCTGAAATTGCAAAAAAAATCGCAATTAGATACTCAAGGTGTATGACTCTTTAGATACAGACTAAAAAGAATCTTGCAGACAATGATATGATAGAACCATGTACCAGTTAATTTCAGTCATGATAATGGCCCTTCAGAAACTTTTGTAGAAAAATGTTTTTTTACTCATGGTACATGTAGAAAATCCATACATTAATTAATTGTCTTCAGTTGAAAAATTTATGGTGGTGGAACACTGAATTTTTTTTTTATTAATCTACAGAAATAGTATTGCTGGTTCTGCTGTATGTGTATATAATTTAACTGCCTTCAATACAGCGTTTACTGGTGATTTTAAATATCAAGAGAATGGCCAGTCAGCATGGATGAGACATGACAATCCTAAACCAATGGAAAGGGTATGTACATTTCTCTTTATGAAAATTGACTCTTTAGAATCATCATATTTATGCTGAGTAGACATGTATATCAAGCATAGAATGTCAATATTATCATATGTCATGTTTCTTGATAATGCCATTTGATATTCTGCTCTACTAAGTATTTCATTGCTGACAGAGTTTGCTGTAAGTTTTCTGAAAAGGAAAGAACTTTTCTGGCAATGGATATTGTAACTGAAAAAATGGCTTTCTTAATCAAGCCAATTTTTTGTTTGGCTTTCGGAAAACTGAATGGAAATTGTATTTGAGGGGAGATAACCAAATTTAATATTAGACAACACTACAGTTGATATCTTTCAGTTGGCACAATAAACTATGAAAACATTATTGGTTGTATATGTGCACAGTTTTCCAGACACTACTGTCATCATCTCTGTACAGCTACGTAGTTAGGGTGTAGCAGATGAGAATTAAGCCCCAGCAAAATCTTCTTTAGCAACAGAAATTGATTCATTTACAGTGTTTTTATACAAAATCAAAAGATATAGATTTTGATACGTTTTTTGGCAGCTCAAAATAGCCAGAAATGGGATCTCTGGGTCTTTGATTCTTCAAAATTTCTGAATACAAACTTTGAGCCCCGCACCAATTTATTCCTGGCGACAGGGCTGTGTTTGTATGAAATTTGGAAAAACACTATTGTGTATGAAAGAAATTAGCTTAGTTTTGCCCAAAAAGTGAAGACAATTTTTGATAATTTATGATAAAGATGCTTTGGTTAAAAATAGGAATCAATGAACTTATGTCTGATCAATGATGCTTTTGAAAATCCATGAAATCTGGTGCTCACAAAAATATATTATGTAATGTTATTGATATTACAGTGTCAGAGTGCAGGAAGTAGTAGTAAAAGATCATCAGAAATGAGTGGTGAACCTCTGGTAGTTGCTCAACAATATCAACTGATGAATGAAGCTGTACAACCTGTTAATAAGAAACCTCTACTATTCGGTGAAAAAGAAAGGTAAACCATGATGTAGTCTACAGTCAAACTCGATTTGTGCATGTCCAGGAGTGATTCAAACCATTAAAGGGACAGGTTTGCCATACGTTTGACAAATTGTGTCTTTGTCTCAGAAACAAGAATTGGCTGAGCTAATCAGTAATAGTGTTTACAACTCACTGCGAAATTTGAGCATTTACATCCATGTGTGTCCAGAATTATACGCGTTTGAAAGTTAAAATGACGACTCATCTTATCTCGTACAGAAAAGACATGTATGGAAATAAAAAGTGAAAATAGTTTAAGGTATTTTTGAAGGAATTATGGAACTTTCAATCAACTCCATTAATTTCAATTCTTTGCCTTTAACAAGAGCAGTTCACTTTATGCATGGATAATCTATAGTAAGTGAAGATTGAAACTATACAAGCAAGACTTATTCTGTTCATACTTGCTCTACCTTAAAAAAATAGTGGACTCTTTATGTTTAAAACTAGAATCAGTGCAGTTTTCATGTGTTTTCTATTCACACATTTACAGCTCAATAAATAAGCAAATGTGATGAAAAAGAATGATATAGTTTGATATTATGACATATGAAGAATCTGTATATTGTAGATGGACCCATATAGTAGTAGATCATGTTATTGGTAAAGAAGATATTTATGATGTAGTGTTTCTAGCCACTGAAGATGGGAAAATTAAGAAAATGATCAGCTTACATGACAACAATCTAACTTGTTTAATAGAGGAAATTAAAATTGTACCCAATGGGGCCAAAAGACCTGTTAAGGCTATGAAAATCTCTTCTGAGAAGGTATAAATAAATCATATTTTGATATTTAAAACTATGGCTTGGTGATTCAGCAAGTTAGCCAATTGACCTTTCACCTGAAATGAAATGAAATGAATTGAATGGAGTTTTACATCCTATTTTTCTGCATTTCGCCCGAAAGTAACTTACACAGTGGGGTTCTATGATGAACATGGTACCTTTTGAAGGAGCTGACATTGAAAAATGTCCATCCAAAGAAACAAAAACAGGGATGTTATTTTTGAATTATGAAAACAAGCGAAGGAAACAACTAAATGATGTTTCAAGTATCTGAAGCCATACATATGTCACAATGACGATATGGAAATTCAGCATTTTCCTTTTCATTGTGGCACAAAAATAAGTATGATTGATTTTTTTGTTTTGTAGGGAGCAGTATTCATTTCAACTCATGGTAAAATTATTAAAGTCCCTGTAGAGAGGTGTCATAGATTTACTGATCCTGAGTAAGTTTTATTAGAATTTTACTTCATACAAATCTTGAATTTTGTTTCATAACAAGTCATCTCTATTTGGTCGTAATTTGGCATCATATATGGTCATCACTTAGTATAATTTGTCAGGATATTTGCTAGTCAAATTACTAGGCTAGGTCATGATTTGTCAGCACAATACTTGATCATGAATGTTATCAAATTACTAGGCTTGGTCATGATTTGTCAGCATAATACTTGGTCATGAATGCTATCGAATTACTAGGCTAGGTCATGATTTGTCAGCACAATACTTGATCATGAATGTTATCAAATTACTAGGCTAGGTCATGATTTGTTAGCACAATACTTGGTCATGAATGTTACCAAATTACTATAGTCATCTACAACTGCTATTGCTAACAGTATTATTGCTTCAATTTTAAGGTAATTATATTATCAATATATAACTTTGTGAAAATGACTTTATATCAAATTCTAACTTTGTTATATCTGATATTTGCTCTTTCAGTTTATGTGTGAATGCAAGAGATCCATATTGTGGTTGGAACAGTAGAATTAATCAATGTGCAGGTCCACCTGGAGGCAATCCACATGTTGATTATTGGATACAACATATAGAATCCTGTCCTATTTTAAACTATCCAGGTCAGATTTTTATACTCTTATTCTCTTTGCTTTCAATGTGGGCACAATATTTTCTCCCATCCTTGAAACCTTGAAAATATCTGACATTTTGACATGTATACCATAGATTAGGAGAGTGGATATATTGGTATCTTAGATACTATTGTATGAAATGCAAGCTGAATCTATAGTAGAACTTTATATTAGGAATAATTGAAATGAGAATCTTCTGAAGGATACTGTCTTGGCATTCATCTTTCCTAAGTTACTAGTACCAATTTACATAGTCACTTGGAATAACGAGAAAAGATATCTTATGCAGGTTATTAAGACTGTGACAAGACTACAGAGATTAGAACCCATGACCACCATTTGTTCGAAGTTACCAAACAAATAACATCGAGATTTCAATGCTCTCTATGACTAGGCTACAACCCTTCCTCCAGATATGCAGATGTAAAATATTCAGTAATATCAAGAAATATAATATGTTTTCAGTGAATGGTAATTGGAGTGATTGGGGAGATTGGCAGGTGTGTCAACAAATCAATACAGATAAAGATGATGATGATTGTATGTGTAGATCTAGATATTGTAATAAACCTGAACCTTTATTTGGTGGTCGACCATGTCGTGGACCAAATGTTGAAGTTACTAATTGCACAGGTAATAAAACCTAGTTTGTCTACCATTAAATGGCTATAAGAATGAGTGACAGTTCATTTTCTCAATTTTCCATACATTATTAATTAAAAAAAGAAAGAAGTAGAATTACTTTCATTTTTGGTTGCATATGTCCACTCTGAAAATAATAATTTCTTGCAAAAAGTTTGCGAGAATTTTGCATGGCATTTGAATAATCTCTCAGATGTTAATTGAATGATGCATGTTGTTTCTTTTTAATTTAGTCCATGGTCAGTGGACTGAGTGGTCATCATGGTCAAGCTGTTCCAAAACATGTGGCTTTGCAGTCAAATACCGAACCAGACATTGTGGTAATCCTGCACCAAGATATGGAGGACGAATCTGTATAGGTGATAATACTGAGTCACAATATTGTGAAAATCTGGAACCTTGTCCAGGTAGGCATTAGAAATATTAAATATTGTCTTATGAAGCTGTTTTGATAAATGATATTTGTAAACCTGTGATATTAAGAAATATTAAAACAGAACCTTAAAAAACAGGTTGTTATTACTCAGAGTTTCATGCTTTGTGATCTGTAATATCTGTGATATTTATGTGAATTGGAATATCATCTACTTAATAGTTTTGATTGTTGATAAAAATTGAAACAGGGATATATTATATTAATTTTTGTAAGCTTTATTTTTGCTTAGAGCAATTTTAAATTTTAAATTTGACACCTTTTATCGTACAAAATTTTTAGATACTTTTGAAACTCTGTTTCTCTCATTCTACCTGGCGCCTACTGGATTTAATTTTAGCAACATGATCATATGTTTGGCCAAAAATTATTTTACATAAACTTTGAATTATTAACCAATCAAACAAGACCTACTGCATTTTCTTAAATCAGGTTCTGATAAGGTAGAATCTTGGCCACGTATTCCTAGAATCAGTGTTGGAAGATAAGAACCCAGGACATCCTAGCTAACATCATATTGAGAATACATGGCCTTGATTTTGATAAAAGGATGCCAAGGACAAAATGTGATGGTATTTCTCCCTTTCTATTTTTAGTTCCACCAAGACATGGTAAATGGTCTGTTTGGAGTGGTTGGAGTGCCTGCACTGCAAATTGTAATGGAGGAATACAGAATAGACGGAGGTTATGTAATGATCCCCAGCCAGCTCAAGGGGGTACACCATGTATTGGTGATAAACAAGATTGGAGAATGTGTAACTCTCAGACTTGTGAAGGTAAGATATACCTTACACTAGTTGTCCCTTTACCAGCTGAATATTCATGGGTGTTCTAGATGTAATACTTTGTGGAATGCTGAAATACTTACATTTGTTAGTGGTTTTCTATGCATCGATCCAGGATTTTCAGTGGTATTGTATATCAGAAAGTTTGACTAAATCCTTTCTTCTACTATTCAGAGTTTTGTTGATTCCATTTTGGGAATGGGCCTCATCCTTTTTTTATCAAATTCATATTGTTATGGTGATGTCACTTCTATATAAAAATTTGACCCTGTAAATGGGTTCATACTGCCATTTTAACATCTATTTGTTTCTTTTAGAGCATACTAAAGTTACTAAATGGACACCTTGGATTAAAACCAACATAACTGCGGCTGGTCATCTCGAACAACGATTTCGTTTCAGTTGTCGTGCTCCAGTTCTGGACAAAAACATGATCAAATCAGACTTTGCCAAAGGTCAAACTCGAGTGTGCTTTGATGGCAAAAGTGATTGCTTGAAACCTCGTGATTTTAAAGACACCATATCACCGATAGACACATACTCGTCAGTGCATCGTGTGTTTAAAAAATACTGTCGTTTCAGACGGAAACTGTTCAAAAAGTACTGTAATTGCAGAACGCTAGGAGTGTTCCTGGTCTGTCAAAAATGTGGATATGGATGACTGACGCTTGTTATGGTAAGAAACTATACTGAGATTACGCTATACTACAATGATGGCAATAGACGTGGCGTGTACAGCGTTTGTGCTCGACTCAAGCGAAGAAGACACTGTCCCAGAACTCGAACCCATCTTTCAGGGTAATCAATAATAGCTAATAATTTCAAATACTGGATCTTATTATTTATAGTTTGCATTCTTTTTGTCAAAGTTTGAAAATTTTCCTTTTATTTCAATTTGCAAATCAAATCAATATTCTCGCTGATGTGCTTGTAGCAGTTTTGGATCTTCATGCTGATTTTTTATAGGCGTATATCTTAATTCAAATTTCCATGGCTGAATTCAAATTCAAACTACAAAATTGTACTTTGATCCTTGGAACACCAGAAAATTAAACCAAAATCTTGCAAATTTGCAGTTATTATTGGAAGAACAATATAAATATGTTTGGAATGTATTTTGTGTAACATAAACTAATTTATCATTTACTAAAACTATAACCAAATTACTAAGTTACTGATTTTAATTGTACTGCAATATCATTTTATTGGAATAATTTAATGGAGAAATTACAAAGGAACATTATGAAACAAGTTTAAATTTACATTTGGCTTCAATGATAAATCAGGAATTAAGATGTTCTTATTGAAATTAGAATGATTCAAATTTTCAATAGAAGCTTTAAGTGTTATTAGTGGACATTAAAAGACTAAAAAACAGATTTCTGAATTCTGATTAATTAATATAGGCCTCTTGTTTAGAAATTTGACTTGCGTGATAAACTTGCTATAGGCTTTGTGCTATATATGTACCAATATTATGATAAGTCTGGTTTAAAAATTCATATTGCTACTCATGTTATAATAGCTCATTTTGAACTACATTGTACCAAAGTATCATAATATTGTGATATATGGTAGCTGTTGTGATTTGATAATATCTAAATATTGTGTATTATTGTGATAATGGCACATTGACAAACATGGAATATGAAAATACCAGAATATCCAATTATTGATATATTATGCACCATTGCCTGGCTCTGGTCTGTCTGGTCAAATTTCTAAGCAATATTTGATTCATTATATTTTCTTACCATACGTGATAGAGTACTAGAGAGAATTTGTATTTAATTTTTTTTAAGTGATATAATTGTCTAATGATTGCTTTACCTGCTTCAAGAGCTCAATTTCAGCTATCTGTACCACTTTTCAGAACTAACATCCAACATCAAGTTTCCCTTCAATAAAATAACAAATTTGGAAGTGGACTGTTGCCGGTTTCAGGACAGCACTTCTATGAGTGTATTCTCAAAACTTAGTCTATGATTTCACAGTACTTTCTATTGAATTGTAGGGTAACTATATGCAAGATGTCAATCTTAAAAGTGATGCAGATGACTAAAATTAGGTGTTATTAGATGGTCAAGCACATGTTAGACAATATTTATATCCATTTTATTTTTATCAATTTATCATTGATATTTTGGAATGTTCTGTGTAAATTATTTAAGGATAAGTAATATTTTCCAAGAAAGTCTGTACAAATTGTTGATAATGGAATTATTATGTATGTGTATGTGCCACACATTGGCACCCACCCACCTTAATTATTGTTCACATTATATTTAGCATGCTCTCTCCTGTAATATTACAAAATTAAAGAGATGGATACCCAAAGGGGCAGGTGCGGCATTTTGGGTGGTTGACTTTAGTCTTGAATATATGTTAAAAGTCTTCAGAAGCACTAGAAATGTATAAAAATCGCCTAATTCCTTTAAAAATACTTCAAACTAGGAATTTTTCTCACTATTTCTATATATTTCTTTTCTATATATCACAGTGTATCTTACAATCATTTTAACATTCAATCGTGGATAATTCTGGACACACAATGATTTGATTGCTCCAATTTCGACGGTGAGCTGTGAACACTATAACTGATTGGCTTAACTTATAAGTTTCCGTTTCTAAGACGAAAGTATGATTGGTTAAAAAAATGGTGCACTTGTCCCTTTAAGAATTTGTAGCTTCTTATATGGGTGGATGATTGTTTTGAGATTCTGCAATTCTCAGAGAAAGCCACAATTGGAATTAATATTATGTTCATAATTCTGGCATTGGAGTTTAGAATTGAAGCAATTTCAATTCCTCTCTAGAATAATGAAAATAAAAGCTATTGTTCAAGTCTTCTTGGCTGGAAAACCTTGTCAAAATCCCTATTTTGTCAAATATTGTATTGTCAATTGATAATGTTCAACAATTTAAAAGAATCCAGAAAATAGTCTTGGTTTATGTCCACCATCCTAATTTACATTTGACCACCAAAATTGATTTTCAGATTTTTACTTTTTGAATTGTAAATCTTTAAGTATTTCGTTTTGATATAAATTTACATAAGCACAGTATTTTACCCACCAAAGTCATTTGAAATCTTCCAGTTGTACATCAGCTTGTCTTCCGTTTCTTTGGTGGGTTTCATAACAGAAGATTTGACAATTAGTATTGATTATGCAGCAAAGCATGTTCTATATGTGTCCATTTCAATATTTTTTTTAACTTTTAAAACACAAAAATCATTATGTCTAGACATTGGAGTCCATTACATGTATATAGTAAATATTTGAAAAAAACCCCCTTGTTTATTAGGTATTTGTAGGAAGTTATGTAGCATGCATAATAAAGCATTTTTACTCGGGCTTCAGCAGAATTAAAGGACAGATTCGCCATTTTCAGGTGTTGATTTCGGTCTTGAATATGTGTAAATAGTTTTCAGAAATATGATTTTCTATAGTCTGATTTTTTACTTTCAAACGCAGATAATTCTGGACACACATGGAATTCAAGGCTCAAAATTCAACGGTAAGCTGTGTACACTGTGTAACCTGTTCCTTTGTGTACAAAATGTATTTTCAACCACTTAAATGATATACAAACGTAAATATCAGCATAGTTTTTTTTTTGACAAAATCGTTTTAATTTATTCCAGTGCTATTTTATTTTGGTACCATGAAATGAAATTTTTTATATCCTACTTTGATGCGCCTCGTGTGGATAATGTTGATATTTGGACAACTGGAATTTGTGGGCAACTTTGCAATACCTTACATGAGGTCTATGAAAAAAAACTTTGGATAGGAGCCATTTTGCTTTTTATGCCAAAATAACAGTAAAATATACTTGGTTCAAGGGTAAAGAAGTTTATTGTGTTTAAAGGCCTAAAAAGGTGCAATATACTCATACAATCAAAATATATATGTTCATTAATATAGGGACTAATTTGAAACTAACACCCTTTTTCATCCATTCAGCATTGGCTAAATTTGTATTAAGTGGCCACTTTTTCATGAAGAATTTATCAATCACGTGACATTTTGCCTGACATTTCGCATCAGGTCTTCAGTAAGTTTGTTCATAGTAAGTAAAATATTCGTGGTAAAGCTCTTCCACCTTTTTCTGAACCACAAATTTTTTTACCTAAATATGATCCAATTATTACACAGACTGTAACTCAATATAGAAAATGGTTTGTTGGATCAAGGGCTAAATTTTGAAAACTCACACTACCCTTCATAACTCCAGTACGCTACCATAAAGTAATATGTGATAATTTAGACGACTATTAAATTTCTTCAATGACATTATTTTGTATAGTTGAATTCATCCAATCTGATTAAAATACAGATTTCTTTTCTTTTTACTACATTTAAGATCGTTTGGCCAAGATGTTGAAATCATAATATGATCAAGTTGAAATCATAATATGATTAACTTGAAATCATAACATGACCAAGTTAAAATCATAATATGATCAAGTTGAAATCATAATATGATCAAGTTGAAATCATAATATTGGTATGCTTGTGTTCAAACCATTGAACGATTTAGATGAAAATCGATCATGTTTAAATCATTGCATGATCAGGATGACATTGTTGAAAGATCCTGTCCCAATCGTAGGATCAAGTTTATCATGATATGATTGATTTCACAAAGTGAAAATCATATTATCAAATACCACTACGTTTATTGAAGTCTTTTTGGAAGAATGTTTAGAGCTGTATTTTAATTGGTCTTAAGCAAATGTAAATAAAATAGTTTCCACTGTGCACACTTTGCACCCTATTTCATGTAAAATACTCCTTCTTCTATATTTATTTATAGCCAATTATAAACCATTTTGATTCAAACTATTGCATTTCATTTGTTTTAAGTTTGTATAAATTATTAAAATGTTGACAACCTTGAACGAGTTTTTATATTGATTTGCAAAACATGTACTGTATATCTACAGTGTAAATTTGTATCTCTGATAGCTGGAAAACATGTAAATATTCTTTGAATAAGTCATTGAAACTGCGTAAGTCAAAGGTATTGTGTTCATAACCTACAAATAAAGTGGACTGTTCGCTTTCATGTTCAAAGCGGACCCGGGTTTGGATAAATTGCTCTTGACTAATTAAAATTAGATTCCAATTATGTTCCTTATTTTTCTAATAATAAACAAAAGCTATTAGAAAAATGGAATGAAATTATAATCCAATTTTATTCACCTCGAAATAAAGTGGACTGTCCATGTTTTGAAAAGTCCCCGGATGGTGACACATTTGAATCTGCGAACACCACCGACTCCCCCCCCCCC